CACCCCCCAACACCCTCATCTGCTCACGGGAGCTTTGCAGATCCTCCCGGTCTCCCTTTTCTCCCCCGCCAGCCCTACTTCTTTCCTCTCTGTCTCAGAGATCAGTCATCGAGGGTGTCGACACGCACGCACCCGACTCCCCCGGGAGAATGGGGAGCGTGAAGCTGGGGGTGGTGTTCTGCTGCGAGAAGGCAAAGCTGCCATCAGCAGACGCTTTGATCTGCAGACAATTACAGACGAGTGTAGGACCTCACTCCGCTCAGCCAATAAATAATGGAATTTGTGTGTTGACACAGACAGATTTCCCCCAAACTGTCAGAGAAAGGGAGACAGAGAGTGAGTGAATGGGAGCCCGAGCGGCTGGAGGGAAGGGGAGAGGAGCAGGCAGGGGAAGGAATGAGAAGGGCCTGTGGGAAAACAGGGAGAGGGAGCAAGGGAAGAAAAAAAGAGCAAGTTTGAGGAGGCAATGATGATGGGGGGAGCTGGGCAGGGAGGAAAAGGAGCCTAAGGAACACATATTTGTAGAGGGGAAGGAAAATCAAGACAGGAACTGTGGGTGGAAAGGCGGGGGGGGAGTGCTGCATACGCAGCAGGCTGGAAGCAGAGGGAAAAAAAAATATATCTGAAGGTAGAAAAGAAAGAGAAGGAGGAACAAAGGCATGGCAGTGCCCCCGGGGCTCCCCGGTTGCCTGGCAGATCACACGCTCTCCGAGCAGGGACCATATTCCCGCAGCCCTCCGCACAGCGGCCGTGCCCCCCCCAGGCGCTCAGTGCTGCGAAGCTGGCGATGGGGAGGCCCGCGTGAGTTGGTGAAATGGTGCCACTGGTGTGCAGCCAACAGCAGAAATTTGCTCTGAGATCACAAGTCCCCGAAAAACCTCCTGCAGATGCCCTGTCCCCACACTCCCCCCACTCTTCCCCATCTCGCTCTCTCCCTGATCCTTCTCCAGCCTGGAGCTGTTTGTTCTTTAGCTGATGATGTTTTTTTTACTTTGCTTGCCACAAAGAAATACATCCCCTTTGCCCAGGAGCCCAACCACCAAACCCAGCAGAAACCATTCATCCTTCCAGCACCCCTCCAGCCCAACGTGGTTGCGGCAGCAGAT